GTTTATGAAAATATATCTAAATCTGTCATTTATTATTTTTAAATATTCAGTAATGATAATGTCTCACCTCTAGTCTTCTCTATCTTAATTTCAGGTTTCCACCATGTGTTGTAGATAGTTCAGGAGGTTAACTCGACCAAGCAGTCTTTGGGTTTCGGCTAAGTACTGTTTAGAATACCAGAATAGGGAGGATGGTGTTTATTAGATTTTATTAGATTGATACATATATACCAACAAGACAGTGTACATCACTGTGACAACAGTGTTTGTTTTCATTCAAAGGCTTTATGGTTTTTCCTATAATACCTGGTGGGCCACACAGCAAATTCAAAAGTGTTAAATGTATTGGTGTTAGTGACTTTGTGCAAAAGCAGAGTTAATTTTACTCTAAGTAGAGTCACATTCTTTTAATGTAACTCTGAGGTGTAAAACATTAGTAGTTAAAATCGAGTGTTAAAAATGAGTGTTTCTATATTAAATCTGGAGGTGTCAAAATGGAAACATTAACTCTTGACCTCTTAACTCTAAACTCCTAAAGGGGTTATGACACTAATAGAGTAAATTCACAAACTCCGCCCCCAGCATCACAGGTTCCGAATGAAGCTGAAGGGAAGCCATTTCAGAACATTTAGCTCTCCATTTTTCCGAGTTGTTTGCCACGCCTGGTAAGTCATTTTTTCTGAGATTCTTGTAATTATTATTACTACCTTTTACTTCTGTGGCTTTTTTGAGTCGAGACAAAGCTGTGTGAAAAGCATTAGCATGTTGCTCGGTGATAGCAGAAAAATCTGTTTTAGCTAGCTGAAATGTATTGTTGGCGGGCAAAAGACTTGCATATGAGTGTTCAGTCATTTTTTTGCTAACTCATATACACTTAAAACAATATTTAGGTTGGCATCAAATTATGGTGGCACTTAAAGCCTGAAAACTATCTCCCATATAAACCGATATAGTAAACGGCAGTAGCAGATGTGCTGACTGGGTTCTATGTTAACATTTAGATCTTTTCAGAGTTTTGTGCACTCATTTTAGGTAAAAATTAAAAAGATCAAGGCTTTGAATTTATTATGGAATTAACTATTGTCTGTGTTCTTCAGTTGTTATAGAGAGCATCATTTTAACAAATGTGTTGTGGGTAGGGCTGCCACAAAAGATTATTTTGATAGTCGACTAGTCACTGATTATTTTTGCAATTAGTCCACTAATCAGATCATGCATCAATTGGACATAAAACGGACAGCTTATTGCACCAGCAGCATCTGCTCTTATATAACTATCATTAGATTACAGCTTTAAGTGTTTAAGGTATGTGCTAACTAAAAATAAAGACAAGATGATAGTTTATTAAATTTTAATTAAATGTGCAGATTGTTTCGGTGGAG